CTGCACAAAAATCCCAAAATCCTGGGTGGCAAAAAGGTCAGGGTGCCTCCAAAGAGTCCTGAGGGAAGGGTCCTCACTTCCCAAATAAACCTGATCCTTTCCCCAAATCCTGGATGGAAAAAAAGGTCAAGGAGCACCCACAGAGTCCTGACTGAGGGGTTCTCACTTCCCAGAAACATCTGGGAATTGCATGAAAATCCCCAAATCTGAGGGAGCGAAAAAGGTCAAGGGAGCATCCATGGGATCTTGGGTGAGGGGTCCTCACTCCCCAAAATTCAGATCCATTTTTTTGGCCGAGTGAAGCGAAGGAGCTCCAGGACCCTTGGGGACACTGAGGCGCCTCCGGGACATCCCAGACACAGCCACCAGCTCCCGTTTGGATCTCCTGGAAAAACTCCTGGGAATTCCCTGCTCAGCACCTGGGAGGTCCCTGGCAAATTCTGGATTTGTGGGATCTGGAGAAGCAAATCCCACCCGGGAATGCCGGGCTGGGAATTCCCAACCCCGCGGTGTCGCGATCCCTGGAATTTGTGGAATATTTGGGATGGACCGGGAGCTCCACGTTCCCTCCATTCCCTCACGTTTCTCCCGTCATTTTCCCAAAGGTTTGGCTAAAAATAGATTTTTGTGCAATTCCCGGGGCTGGGAAAAGCAATTCCACCTCTCCTCCAGGAAAAAACGTTCCCTCCCTTTCCAGGGGCTGACTCCGGAGCCTCTTTGGGCAATATCCACAATTTTTGTGCTGAGGTTGCTGCCCAGTGACCTCCAGAGCATTTCCAGACTGGATCCAAACCAGTTTAAGGTCAGGCCACATCTCCTGATCTCCAGACAGGGTTTAGGATTAGGTTTAAGATTAGGTTTGGGTTCAGGTCTCTCTCTCCCAGCCATGGGAAGTGTTTGACTTTAATCCCCGGGCGTTGCACGTTCCAAGTTTAAATTTGGCACTGAAATATTCCAGAAATTCTTTATTTATTGCTTAAATAAAAATGTCCCGAGCAGGTGGAGGTGCCCTGTCCCTCTCTGGGGCTCTGAGGGATGGACAGCACCGACCTGAGGAGGAGAATTCCCTTGGGAATATTGCACAAAAATTCGGGTGGAAGGTTGGAGGTGGTGAAATTCCCCGTCCACTCTCAAACTCAGCTGCTCCGGCCTCGGCGGGCCAAAAACCAGGATCGGGGAATGATGAAATCGTGGAATAACAGAATTGGGGAATCATGGAGTATCAGAGGATCACGAAACCATGGAGTTAGGGAATAATGGAATCAGAGAATAATGGAATAATAGAATCAGAGAATCATGGAATCATGAAACCATAAAATCATGGAATCAGAGGATCATGGAATCAAAAAATCACAAAATGGTGGAATTAGAGGATCACAGAATCACAAAGTCATGGAATAATAGAGACAGAGGATCAGAAAATCATGGAGTAAGAGAATCAGAGAATCACGGAATAACAGAAGCGTGAAATAATGGAAAAATAAAATCAGAGAATCTGAGAAAATCAGAGGACCATGGAATGGTTTGGGTTGGGAAGGAACCTTCAGGATCATCCCATTCCAAGCCCCTGCCATGGCCAGGGACAATTCCAACTGTCCCAAGTCTCTCCAAGCCCCATCCAACCTTTCCTCGGACACCTCCAGGAACGGGGCAGTGCCGAACCCCAAGGTTCTGAGGACTCTGATCTCCTTCCCTGCATCTCCCCATGGGAAGGGCACAATTCCAGGCGCTTATCTCGGTCCCGAGCCCTGCCAGCCGCCAGGCTGCCTCGAAAGCAGCCGGGCAGGTCTGGGAAGTGCCCTAATTCCAGCCTGGAATCGGCACCAGCACCAGCAAGGCCTGAGTCAGGCTTTGGGCTTGGGCTGGGGTATTTCCCAAAGCTGGAGACTAAAACCGAGCCTATCCCAGAGGGAACAGCAAGGCAGGACCCAGGGGAAAGCGGGAATTTTATGGATGGGAGAAAATTCCAGGATTTTCTGGCCTTGTGCTGCCAAAGGGTTGTTGAGGGAGGAAGTTGCAGCCGCTTCCAGGTGTTGCCCAGGAATTCCAGGAGGTGAGGTGGGACCAGCTCAGCCTGTTGGAAGCGATCGTGTCGGGATCTCGATCCGATAAAAGCCCCGGAAAAGCCGCGGAGATGAGCCCGGGATGACCAAAGGTGACGAAATTCCCGTCTGGGTGGGACACAGCGTCTCCAGGAGCCGTATCCCGATGGATCCCGGAGATTTGGGGGATTGGGATTGCATTTCAGAGGGTTTTCCCACTCCATAAATGTCTGTTTTTCGTTCCACCTGGACTAATCCTCAGGGAATGCAGAATTCCCTTTATTTCACACCTAGGCTGAAACACCGTTTTAAATTCCCTTCTGGAATTCCGTGGGGCCTCTTCCCCATATTCCATTCAGGTAGGGAAAATCTTGGATGTTGTTAAAAATCCGCGGAGATGAACTCAGCTCCCTGCTCCATCACGTTTGGATGGATGAGAGCTGCATCTCCATGGAAAATGAGATTTATCCAGAGAATTCTGGGATTATTGAGGTTGGAAAAGCCCTCCAAGGCGATTGAGTCCATCTTTAGATGGATCAACTCCTTTCCAGGAATTCCCTGGACACTTCCAGGAGTGACAACTCCAAACCTCACTGGGCAGGCCCTGACCACCCTTTCCAGGAGGAAATTCCTGGAATTTCCAGGAAATCCCTCCTGGTGATGCCAGACTGAAATGAAAGTTGAGGGAAATCCATGAAGTTCTTCCCAAGGAAAATTCAGGGGAGGTTTAGCTGTGGAATGGCCCCTGGATGGGTTGAGGTGGGAATTCCCAATAAAATCCCAGGAATTTCAGATATTGGGGGTCCTTTAGCTGTGGAATGGCCCCTGGATGGGTTGAGGTGGGAATTCCCAATAAAATCCCAGGAATTTCAGATATTGGGGGTCTTTTAGCTGTGGAATTACCCCTGAGTGGGTTGAGGTGGGAATTCCCAATAAAATCCCAGGAATTTCAGACATCAGAGGGTGTTTTAGCTGTGGAATGGCCCCTGGATGGGTTGAGGTGGCGCCAAACCCCACCAAGCCCCCAAACCTCAACGGGGTCTCCCACAACTCCACCATCCCAAGGCTCTGACCTTTACCCAGGGAGAAATCCCACAGCTGAGCGGGATTAGTCAGGGGAACGAACTCAGAATCCTCTCTGGAAAGTGCCTACGTGTAAAACCCGGCCGGGCAAGGTTCTTGTGAAAGAATGAGCTCATCAGCCAGGAGGACTCATTCCCAGAAGGCAGGGCTTCCAAACCCTATAAAAGATCCCAAATCTCCCCTCTCCAGCATCCACTCCGCTCCCGCTGCTCCCTCGGCACCGGCTGGGTGAGTGCCGGAATCCCGAGGTTCCTCCTTGGGGAGGTTTGGGATTGGGGATCCCGAGGTTCCTCCTTGGGGAGGTTTGGGATTGGGGATCCCGAGGTTCCTCCTTGGGGAGGTTTGGGATTGGGGATCCCAAGGTTCCTCAGGGAGGTTTGGGATTCAGAATTCTGAGATTTTTGGGGAGATTTGGGATGGAGAATATCGAGGTTTTGGGGGGGATATTTGGGATTGAGAATCCCAGGATTTTTGGGGAGGTTTGGGTTTTTAGAATTCTGAGGTTTTGGAGGGGATGTTTGGGATTCAGAATCCCAATATTTTAGGGGGATTTTTGGGATTGAGAATCTGAATATTTTGGGGTGATGTTTGGGATGGAGAGTCTCGATTTTTGGGGGGATATCTGGGTTTCTGACTTTCAGAAAAGGTTGGATTTTGTGCCTTGGGATATGCAGAGGGTTCCTGGAAAGGAGGGAGTTTGTGGGCGTTGGGGCAGCCTGGAAATGGCACTGGAAGGCAAATTAAGACCGAGCCTAAATCTGAGGGTAATTAAGCCCTAAATTAGACCCTTCCTGAGGCAGGGATCAGATGGAATTCCGTTGGTTCAAGGGCGAATCTCCTCCCTCCAAGGAAGGACACCAAACCCTCTCCGGCCAAACTGATTTTCCGATTTGATTTTATAACCAAAATGCTTTTAAAACTTCCATTTCACCCAGGAATTCCTTGGAAAGAGGCAAATTTGGGAGCATGAGGGCGCTGCAGGGCAAGGGGTGAAAATGTTCCCCAAGCGCCGCCTCATCCATGTCAGGAACAAGATCTTAATTAATTAATCAATTAATTAATCAAGGTCTTATCAGATGTTAAAAAAAAAAAGAAAGGAAAAAAAAAAAAGAGAGAGAAGAGAGGAGGGAATTGGCTGTGAGAGGAGCTGGGAACACCCCGGGGAAGGGAGGAGGAATTTTCCCTCTCTCTGCCTTGGGGAGTTCAAATCCCTTTTGGAATTCTCACCTTCCTCTCCCCTGGATTTTACAAAGCGGCAGCACAGGAATTTCCGAGGTCCGGGCGAGCCTTCAGCGGCCACAAAATTGTCCCCAAATTGTCCCCAAATTGTCGGGGAGGAGAAATCCGCGCTGCGCGCTCTGACTCAGGAGGGGACAGCGGTGACAATCCCGGAGCTCGGGGACGCTTTATCCCAGAGAATTCCCTTCCCAGGGCCCTTCCAGGGTCACCCAAACCCTCGGCACTGTCACCGGCGCTGGGTGAGACCGGAACGGGAGGAGGAGCTGCCTCCTGGGAATTTAACCCTCAGCTCGCCGGAGCCTCGAGAAACCTCCAAATTCCAAGGAAAAGCTGAAAATCGAGGGCGGGGAAGAGCAGGAATTATTTCGGGTTTACCAGTCCAAAACACCCCTTGGCCCCACATTTATATTCTTCTTTTTTTTTTTTTTTTTTTTTTTTTTTTTTTTTTTTTTTTTTTTTGGCACGACAAACGTCCTGAAATGTTTGGGTTTAGCCTCGGGAGGACAAGGGCGGAGGAGGAAAATTCGGCTTTTTAAAATTCTAACACGTTTTTCAGAACTGTGTCACCCTCGTCCCGGTAACGCAAGAAATTCCCGCTTTTTTTTTTCTCCCAGGTGATCCCGTTTTCCCGCAGAGATGTCTCTGAACCAGATGCAAATCAAGCAGGAGCTGCAGCTCCCCCCCGGTTTGGGTAAAACCACCCCAAAACAGAGCCCGGAGCATCCCCAGATCCCGGTGCCCGAGCCGCTCCCGGCAGCGGCGAAATTCCCGGAAAAGGCGATCCCAGAACCGGGAAAAGGAGAAACTGCCCTGCCCCAGGAGCAGCAAACCCAGATCCCGGAGGGATTCCCGAATCCCGGACCTGCTCCGCGCCTGGAAGAGAAATCCTGCCCGGAACCGACGCTGGAGAAGCAGGAGGTCAAGGAGATCCCGATTCCCGTTCCCGTTCCCTGCGCCCAGGAGAAGCAGCAGTGCCAGGAAATCCCGGTGTCCATCCCAGAAAAACAGGAGTGCAAGGAAATCCCGGTGTCCATCCCAGAAAAACAGGAGTGCAAGGAAATCCCGGTGTCCATCCCAGAAAAACAGGAGTGCAAAGAAATCCCGGTTTCCATCCCTGACCCTGTCCCGTGTGCCCAGGAAAAGCAGGAATGCAAGGAAATCCCGGTGTCCATCCCCGACCCTGTCCCGTGTGCCCAGGAAAAGCAGGAATGCAAGGAAATCCCGGTGTCCATCCCAGAAAATCAGGAAAAGCAGGAATGCAAGGAAATCCCGGTGTCCATCCCAGAAAATCAGGAATGCAAGGACACCCCTGTCCCCATCCCAGTTTCAATCCCTGAACCCACCCCGTGTGCCCAGGAAAAGCAGGAATGCAAGGAAATCCCAGTGTCAATCCCAGAAAAACAGGAAAAGCAGGAATGCAAGGAAATCCCGGTGTCAATCCCAGAAAAACAGGAATGCAAGGAAATCCCGGTGTCCATCCCAGAAAATCAAGAAAAGCAGGAATGCAAGGAAATCCCGGTGTCCATCCCAGAAAAGCAGGAATGCAAGGACACCCCTGTCCCCATCCCAGTCCCAGACCCCACCCCCTCTTCCCAGGAAAAGCAGGAATTCCAGGAGATCTCAGACCCCACCCCCTCTTCCCAGGAAAAGCAGGAATTCCAGGAGATCCCGGTGCCCATCCCGGAGCAGCGCTCCCTTCCCGAGAAATTCCCTCCCCTGGAGCAGCAGCTGGAGCAGCCCGGCCCGTGGCAGAAATAGAGGGAAAACCCCGATCCCGGGGATTTTCTCCCCGAATCCAGAGGTTTTTCCCAGCCTTTTTTTGGTTGATTTTTTGTTTTTTTGGTTTTTTTTAACCCCTGCAGAGCTTTTTGTCAGGAATTCCTTCCAGCCGCCCCTCCCGCTAACGCCTTGTCCTTTACTAACAGCAGGGAATTCCCGTCGGGAATGCTTTTCCAGCAGGGTTGTAGCTCCCCTTCCCAAATTCCTGCCCTTTTTTTTCCCCAATCCCGCGGCTTTGGAATGCCCAAAAAGCCCCCCCGCCAAAAAAAAAAATTCATGGAGCAAGGGGGGGGTTGTGAAGTTAAAAGCCCCAAATCCAGGGAAGAGCTCATCCCCTTTTCCTGCCTTTCCCCCCTGGGTTCCAGCTCCCACCTGGAATTTGGGAAGTTTTTCCCTAAAAATAATCAGATTTTGCGCGGGATCTGCTGCCAAAAGGCTCGAAACTTCCCAAACCGGGAATTAGCGCTGAATAAAAAATAATCCTTTGGGACTGAGGGAAGAAAAAGGAGATTTTTAGGATAGATCCGACTTTGGTGGAATTAAAAACAATCCTTTGGGATTGAGGGGGGGAAAGGAAGAATTTTAGGATAAATCCGAGCTCGCTCTCCCCTTGAATTTCCTCGGAGGTGTCAAAGAACAGGTCAGGCCGTGAATATTCCCTAATTACCCAAATTTATGGATAATTAACTCCACTCCAGACATGTTTGGGAAGGGATTAACCCCGGGCGTGGCGCGGACCGGGATAAAGGAGGAATTCCAGCCGGGAATGTTTCGCCACCCGTCTGGTGTTTGGGACTTGGTCTCGCGATTGTTTTCGGCTGCTGTTGGATCCAGGATTTATTTCACTGTGAAAACTCCGCAATAAAAGCGACTTTCAGTACCGAGTTTTGGGAATTTTTGTTCCTGGTCGTAGAGGGGGGTTTATACCAGGTTGTGGTTTTTTTTGTTTTGGTTTTTTTTTTGTTGTTGGGTTTTTTTTTAATGAAATTGTGGGGATTTTCGTACCAAATTTTGGGGATTTTTGTGCCAAGTTTTGGGGGTTTTTATACCAAGTTTTGGAGGTTTTTTAATCAAGCTTTGGGAAGTTTTATACTGAGTTTTGGGGGGGTTCATATCAAGTTTTGGGGATTTTTTAATCAAATTTTGGGAAGTTTTCTACCAAGTTTTGGGGGGGCTTTATATCAAGTTCTGGGGATTTTTTAAATCAAATTGTGGGAATTCTTATGCCTAGTTTCGGGAATTTTTGTACCAAATTGCTGGAATTTTTTTAATCAAGTTTTAGGGAATTTTATTCCAAGTTTTGGGAATTTTCAATGGCTTCTCCTGAAAAAGATGGAGAGGAGGCTCAGCTTGCAAAAGCTTGGGTTTGTATGTGCTTAAAGTTGATATTTTAGGGGAAAATAAAAGAGAAGGAGAAGGGAAAACGGGAGAAAAGCACCAACAAAAACACCGGGAAGCAACCGTGAGGTCATTCCATCATTTTATTGCACCACATCCCAAATTAAACTCGGAATTAAAACCATCCCCCGCCGTTCATTTATCATCTTTTCTAAACCTAATTAAGCGCATCTCGTTATGAGGTAATTTCTGGCAAGCGGAGCGGGTGGCTGCAGGGCTGGAGGCGTTCCCGGGAGCCAGGAGAGGTGGGAAACGCAGGATTTGGGATTTGGGATGGCTCCTACTTCTGCTTGGAGCACTGCTGCTGCTGCTGCTGCTGGGGCAGGCTCTTCACGGCCGCCTGGACCTGGCCTTTGGAGGCCTGGCTTTGCTGGACCCCCTTGGGAAGGGCCCCGCATTTCTGCTGGCACTGGGCCGGGATCTGCTGCGGCTGCTTCTGCTGCTGGGACATCCTGGCCGGGCCTGCAATTCAAAACCGAGCAAATTTTAGGCTTAAATTTGCCTTTCTGGGTAATTTTAAAGGTGAATTTTTGGGTAATTTTAAAGGTGAAAAAATTCGCCTTTTTGGGGTGTTGGGGTTCCGGGCGCTGCCTCAGCTTTGAGGTCGACCCCGCGGATTTAAACTCAACCCCAGTCCCGAACCAGGATTGAATCCCTGACGTCTGAATTTTGGGGAGTTGCTTCCCGCCCTTTGTTGGGGTTTTTTTTTGGATCCCGTCCCGTTCCCTGCAGGATCGGTCGCCCCGCTCAGGGATCAGGGAGTAGCTGTGCCTAAAACGAGGATCAGAGGCAAAGCCCAGCCTAACAAAGCCAGGGAAAGGCTGCAGAGCTGGAGAGGAGACAAATGGCGCCAGGGGTTTTCCTTCCTTCCCCCTGCTCATTTTTTTCTGGGAATCTCGACTTTAAAAAGCTCGGGGGAAAAAAAGTGGATTTGGAGGAAAGCTGAACTCAAGGAGAAGCTCCAAGGAAAGCAGCAAAAGAGGAGTGGAAAACTGGGAAAATCTCAGGATTGGGAGTTTTGGCAGGGGAAAAATCCTTTGGTAACAATCCCAGTATTGGATACCAATCCCAGTATTTGATAATATTCCAAATATTTGATAATATTCCAAATATTTGTTAATATTCCCAGTATTTCATAATATTCCCAGTATTTGATAGCAATCCCAATATTTGATACCAATTTTTGGAACCACCACGTCCCTTCCCAGCTCCTTGAGACCCCCCAGAGCAGGAGCCACACCCAGGGGCCATGAAATTCAGGTGGATTGAGGATTTTATCCAAGAAAACAGAACCAGGATCCCTGGAAATCCGGGAAGCTGTTCCACCATCATGCCCATGGATGCCGGCCTTTGGTTATCCACGGGATTCTTATCAATCCCAGAAAAATCATCACAGAGATCCGACCCAAAGAGTCCCAAACCACTGGATGGAGCCTCAAAACACCCAAAATTCTATAACACGGTTTTCCACCCATTGCAGGCGGAATTTTTGGGGGGAGGCAACCCCAATTTGGGGCAGAAAACAGTGAAAAAAAATCCCAATTTTTGGGGAGACACAACCCCAGTTTGGGGCAGAAAACAGTGAAAAATCCCAATTTTTGGGGAGACACAACCCCAGTTTGGGGCAGAAAACAGTGAAAAATCCCAATTTTTGGGGAGACACAACCCCAGTTTGGGGCAGAAAACAGCAAAAAAAATCCCAATTTTTGGGGAGACACAACCCCAGTTTGGGGCAGAAAGCAGCGAAAAAAATCCCAATTTTTGGGGAGACACAACCCCAGTTTGGGGCAGAAAACAGCGAAAAAAATCCCAATTTTTGGGGAGACACAACCCCAGTTTGGGGCAGAAAACAGCGAAAAATCCCATTTTTCCCACCCTGGGGCACCAAACCCCCCATCGGGGCAGCGAGAGGGGCAGGGAGGGACTCACCTGGCGCGTCCTGCTGGAGGAGGGAGCTCAGGAGGAGCCGCTGCGGGTGCAGAGCCTCCCCCGAGGAGCAGCTTTTATATCCCTCAGGATGGCTCCAGATTAAACTCGGTGACCAGAATCTTTCACAACCGGAACCGGCTCCGCTCCCACCTCCTGGACCTCGGTCAAAGCCCGGCAGAGATTCCCTCCTCTCCCAGCTGCTGCGGGGGACTGGGTGTTCTGCAGCCAGGGCACGCCCAGGGCTGCTCATCGCGGGGTGATTTGTTAATAATTCGTTAATGGTTTCTTAATAATTCACAACGTCCCCGTCCCGAGCAAAGAACCGGCAGCCGGGACAAGCCACGTCCACTTGGGAATGAGTTTTGGGGATAATTTTGGCTGGGGAGCACCTGGAGAAGTCTGAGTGGGGTTGGGAATCTGTGCTGTCTCCTAGGGAAGGCTCCAGATCCCAGTTTGGGACCTGGAAAAGCTCCAGATCCCAGTTTGGGACCTGGAAAAGCACTAGATCCCAGTTTGGGACCTGGAAAAGCTCCAGATCCCAGTTTGGGACCTGGAAAAGCACTAGATCCCAGTTTGGGACCTGGAAAAGCTCCAGATCCCAGTTTGGGACCTGGAAAAGCACCAGATCCCAGTTTGGTTCTGGATTTTGCTGTTTCCCTCCTCTATTTCCCATCCCAAAAACAAGAATGAAATTTTTTTTATTTTCCCCCCCCCCCAATAAATCAGGAAGGTTTTGCAGGCTCCTGCACCTGATGAAATATCCCTAATTTATTGCAAATATCCCAGGAATTCCAGCAATTCCCGACACTGACCACAGCTGGTGCGTCAGGGCTTGGCCACAGGAAATGTGGGGAGCACAGCAGGTCCCTCCAGGATTTTCCAGGTGCTCCCTGTTCCCAGATAAAATGGAAAAAAAAAATCCATTTTCAGGCACAGGTGATGGATCGGGATGGAGATGGTCCAAAATCAGGTGATTCACAGGGTTGGAACTCCACGTGATTCCTGATTTAAACCTTTTCCATGATTCATGGTTTAAACCTTTTCCAGGCCTCCAAGAGCTTGGATCCCCAAAAATTTGGAGGAATTTGAGGCGCAAATTCCTCATTTCCCCATCAGTTTTCCTGGCAATGCCCAGTCCAGGTGTGTTCAGGTGCAGGGGTTGTTTTTTTTCCATGATTCCTGACTAAAACCTTTTCCATGCCCCAAAGATGTCACAGAAGTGGCACCTCCAGGGGCAGAGCTTGGATCCTCAAAGATTTGGGTTCCTCGGGAGGAATTTGAGGTGCAGATCCCTCATTCCCCCACCTGTTTTCCTGGGAATTTCTGGCCCAGGTGTGGGGTTGTTCGCCCCCATCCCTAAAACCTTTTCCATGTCCCTAGGGTGCCACAGAAGTGTCACCTCCAAGTTGCTCCTGAGGGCAGATCCTCAAATTCCACGGAGGAATTCCAGGTGCTGATTCCTCACTTCCCCACCCTTTTTTTTTTGTTTTTTTTTTTTTGGGAATTTCTGCTCCTGCTTTGCCCCTCAGGTGTGCTCAGGTGTTTGCCCTCCCCAGCGGTGGTTTTTTTTTGCCTGCCACCATCCCCACCTGCGGGTGTCACCTCCCGGTGTCACCTCCTGGTGTCACCTCCTGGTGTTGGCAGTGAGGGACGCAAAGAGGAACCTGCTCCTCGCCTCCCCACCCGCACATTAAAGAGGAGATTTGGAAACAGCGTCGGCACGCCCCCGGAATATTAATATCTCTCTTTTCTTCTCCAGATTAGATGTTCCCCACCCTTCCCGTAATGAGGGGGTAGGTGGGGAGCGATTTCAGCATTCCCAGACGGGGCCGGAGGTGAAGAAAGCCACAGGCACAACCCGGGACACAGTGGGAGCTTTATCTCCGAAATTTGGGGGGTTTTTTTATGGGTTTAACACCCTCCAGTTAACAACTTTTATGGGTTTAACACCCTCCAGGTGGTCACGGGGTCAAATTCAGCTTTGAACTTATCCAGAATAAAGGTGGAGGAGCCTTTATTAAAATTATTTAGTATTATTAAAATTATTTAGAATTTATTTATTTATTAAAATATTTATTTGTTCAATTGTTAAAATGCAATCATTTAAATTTATTTAAAACTGTGCCTTCCAGGTGTCCAATTCCTTTATTAATTTAAGGCTTTCTTCCACTTAAATTCGCCTTTTAACGGTTTCTAAGATTTACTTCCAAAATCCCAAGCTGTGAAGACCAAAACTCTGTCTGAAAATGAAATTTCTATCAATAATTTCAGGCATCTCTCAGAAAAGAATTGACCAGACGATGATTTCTTTGTCGAATTAGAAGTAATTTCTCCATATTAAACGTTTTTTTACTTCAGGCATAAAACCCTCCCCAACGACTTTTGAAAACTGAAATTGAAGATATTTTGGGGCCTGAAGTCATGGAAATGGGGAGAAAAAAGACAAAAGACAGCTGGTGCCATCGATGGTCATTTTTTATTGCTGCACAGAGAATTCACAAGACTGAGAAGAGACAAGAGGAGAAGGGAAGGGGAAAAGCGTCGACATCTTCCACCATCAGCTGCTGACAGCGTTTCCCGGGAATCCCAACGCTAAAATATTGGGAATATCCACGGAAAAACGCCAGCACGGCAGGAGCAGAAGTGAAAACACGGGGAACGCTCAGAGAGGAAACATTTTCCAAGACAAAGACAGCGTGGGACGATCAGAGCAGGACGTTGCGTTGCCGACGGGTCTGCGCCGTGTTTTCCATCCAGAGCCCGCGATTTTGGCTCCTCACCAGTGAGCGGAGCCTCCCCGCAGGGCCAGGCCCGCGTCAGGGTCAGCAGGGGCGGGAGCAGGGCTCCAGGCACACGGCCTCGCACGACTCCACGCACTTGGTGCTGCAAACCTCGGCCTGGCACTGCTCCACGCACTTGGTGACACAGGGCTCGGGGCACTGGGCAGGGCACGGGGTGGCACAAACATCCACGCACTGCGGGGCACAGCTGGTGGCACACTGGGTGGCGCAGACATCCACGCACTGCGGGGCACAGCTGGTGGCACACTGGGTGGCGCAGACATCCACGCACTGCGGGGCACAGCTGGTGGCACACTGGGTGGCGCAGACATCCACGCACTGCGGGGCACAGCTGGTGGCACAAACATCCACGCACTGCGGGGCACAGCTGGTGGCGCACTGGGTGGCACAAACGTCCACGCACTGCGGGGCACAGCTGGTGGCGCACTGGGTGGCACAGACGTCCACGCACTGCGGGGCACAGCTGGTGGCACACTGGGTGGCGCAGGGCTCCACGCACTGGGTGACGCAGCTGGTGGCACAGGGGGCCTGGCAGACCTCGACGCACTGGGTGACGCAGGGCTCCGGGCACTTGGCGCACTTCTGCAGGCAGGGAGGGGGCAGGCAGGGCTGCTTGCACTGCTCGTAGTAGTAGGACATCCTGGGGAGGTGCTGGGAGAGCAGGAAAGAGCTGGGAAAAAGCTGGGAAAGAGACAAAAAGAAAAAAGGTCAGGATATCGGTGCGTGCTGATCGAGGTGCGATTGGCGGTGAGAGGTCGCGGTGGGTTCGTGTTGGGCTGAGGAAAGGAATGTTGGGAAAAGATCCTGCATCCAGGATTCCTGGGTTCTGGAGTTGGAAGAGACCCCTCAAGGATCTCATCAAGTCCAGCTTTTCAGGGAATGGCCCCTGCAGGGATCAAATCCGTGAGCTTGGCGCTGGGATTAATAAAATCCCAGGGTTTTTATTAACGCTGCCAGAGAACCCCTTCCTTCACTGGGAACCTGCTAGGAAGCCTAGAGCCATAAATCCTGAATTTTATGGGATTGCAAACTCTGTAGAAGCCGTAACACAAAAATACTCCAGTTCCTCCTATTCCCAGTTCCATCAGCAGACGTTCCAGGCCTCGTCTCCTCCTTATCAGATCCTCACGCCCACCTGGGCTGGGAATTCCCAACCACAAAGCCCAGAGGCCACAAATCCCCACCATTATCCCATGGAATCGCGGGATGGTTTGGGTTGGGAGGGATCTCAAAGATCATCTCGTTCCAGCCCAGACCAAGTTGCTGCAAGACCTGTCCAACCTGGCCTTGGACACTTCCAGGGATAAGGAATCCATGGGATAACCTGGGCCAGTGCCTCACGGTTTCTTCCCAATATCCAACCTAAATTTCTCATATTTCAGCGTAAACCCGTTCCCTGTGTCCTGTCCCCGCAGCTCCTGAGGAAAAGCCCCTCTCCAGCTTCCCTGGAGCCCCTGCAGATCCCGGACCTGAGCTCTCCAGAGGCTGAACATTCCCAGCTCTCCCATCCTGATGATCCTCCAGATCCTGAGACATCACTGGAGTTTTTTTGGTGGATTAATGGGGCTCATCCTTCCTTGAGGGAAGGGTTGGCCTGGAGGCTGCAGCTCCAATTTCCAGCTCATTTCCTTCTCTTGGCTTCTCCCAGAGGTCTCCCCCGGCTTTGCCTGCAGGAATTCTGCAGCTCCCTCCTTCCAGGTAGAGCCTCTTCCCACCCATCCCGTTTGAAGTCCCAGGAGCTGCTCCACAGCATCCATTAATTTATTTAATTCCCAGCCTTAACGAGGCAGGAACAAATTAACCAGGATGGAACAAGAGGGAGGAGGAGGAGAAGCAGCCACAGTTCTACACGAGGTGACTTCTCCAAGCTCCTCCAGGCAGAGCAAACCCTCAATAAAATCCCCAATTCCCAGGACAAATCCCAGAAGAGAAGCACAGGAGCGAAGCTCTCCCGGAACCAGAAGTGAACTCTCTTTTTCCACGAGACATCCTGATAGAAATTCCCTGATAAAGCCAAGGAGGACTTACCGGGTCACCGGTCCTGGCGAGCGACGGAGAAGCCAAAGGAACTGGCGGGAGCCTCGGAACCCAAACCTTTTATACGGCCGGAGTGGCGTCAGCTCCGGAAACGCGGGAGCCCAGGGGGATGGACAGCTGACCACAAACTGCCCCGGCAGGCTCCTCCTCCACATGCTTTGCATGTTTGTTTGCATCCTAATTTTTGGTGGAAGGCCTCTTCCAGGAAAGCAGGTGATGCTGAGGCAGCCGCGCTCCCATCCCGGTCATGCGGTTCCCAACGGGAATGGCGGAGTCATTAAAAAAAAAAAAAAACCAAAACAGCGGGTGATGAATTAATTGGTTTTCAGAAAGGGATTTAATGCACTGGGACATTTCCGTGGCCTTATTTCCATAAATGTTGGGTTTTGATACCTGGAGTTTTTCCAACGTGGGATGGCTGTTATTAGGGAAGATGGATAATTAATTGGATTTACTATGAGAAATAGCCTGTCCTAATTCTCATGGAAAGGCACAGCCAGTCCTCCAGCGCTCCCACAAAACCTTGAGGACCCCGTTTTCCTGATAAATTAAATTATTTCATTCATCCAACCCATTCTTTTCCATGGATTAACACCATGTGTGCTTGGAAATTCCAGTGGGGACACAACTCCAGGTTTTTTGAGGAACACTTCAAGACATTCAAGGCAGAATAATCCTCATTTTAAAAATTGATTTTCCCTCACAGAAAAGTACAAAAGGCTCCAGTTTAAATGGGATTTAGGCCCAGGGTGATACTAATAATAATAATAATTTTTATTAAAGTTTTGCCGGTAATGGAAAATCAACATTTCTCTCAGATATTCCAATCACAGAGATGGGAAGGCAACCATCACAAAAATGCTGGATAGGGGAGAAAAAACCACCCCAAAACGAACCAACCCAGCATGAGCAGCACGTCCTGTTTACGCCCCAAACCCGGAGTCTCCGGGAAAATTCCAGGCGTCAGCGCCGGTTCCTTCCCCATGCTTGTACTGGAATTCCACCCGGAGCTGACGGATCTCCACGGGGTTTTTTGTCACCTCAGCTTTTCCACAGACTCAGCTCCCCACGTGCAGCTTCTCCCCTTCCCCGGAGGCTCCGGTGCCCCCAAGGCTTTTCCGGGGATAAACTGGGACTGGCAGAGTGTGGTTTGCTCATCCTAAACACCTCCTTTGCCACGGGAGGAGAAACTGCACCCAGCAGAGCTCGGATCTGGGAGCTGAATTTTTAGGCAGATGAATCCCTCCTCATTTTCTCCTCCTTGAGCTGCCGGGTGTGGAAATTTTCCCCCAGAGCAGCTTCCAAGTCTTATCTTCCCAAGGAATATCCCATATTCCGGTTGGAACAGCTCCTCAGGCACCAGGCTCACCTCAAAACCATCTCTGAGGACCGGTCCTGCACCTCCCTTTCTACCCCGAGTTGTTTCACACCCTGTAGTTAACCTTGATTAGCAAGAAACTGGGGCCTTCCAAAAGTGGATTGTTTCGGGAGACGTAAAGGGACCCGCATCCCAACACGCGGGAACGCGGGAACGTCACAGGGCCGGGTCGTTATCCCTAATTGGCACTCATTTGGGAATCTCCATTACGTTCATGGACAGCTGGAGTCACTGGAGTTGTCACGTTGGTGTCGGTGAGTCAGGACCCCGCAGCGACGTCCTTCGGTGCTCCGGTGACTCCCCCGCGGCAGGCCGGGTGTTCCGGAGGGAATTCCACGAGGGAATTCCATGAGGGCAGCACCCCCAGCTCCAAGGGTCTTGTGCTGGAGGGCCAAAGATTTTCCAGGGTCCCAAAATCCCTGAGATTGGGAAAGATCTCCCAGAACATCAAGTCCAAGATGTGTCCAAGCCCACCTTGGTCACCCCGAGGAATCTCCAGGAATTCCTCAGACACCTCCAGGGGTGGCCAATCCAAACCTCCCTGAGCCCCTTCCAAGGCCTCCCCACCCTTTCCAGGAGGGATTTGCACAAATTTCCCACCCTGAGCCTCCCCTGGCACAGCTTGAGGTTGTTCCTTCTTGTCCTGTTCCCTTCCCTGAGATCAGATCCCAAATTCCCCCTGGATCCTCCTTTTCTCCCAGCTGAGCCCCCCCCCATCTCCCTCAGGATTTTCCAGACCCTTCCCCAGCCCCATTCCCACCCCTGGACAAGTTCCAGCCCCTCCATGTCCCTCTTTCCATGATTTTCCAGACCTGGACACGGAATCGAGGTCCAACCCCTCACCCCAAAATTCCCATTTTCCCGAGCAAGAAAAGGAATTTTTTCTGTGTGTTTCGGTCACTTTTCATGGAAATCAGGGATTCTCCCCATTTTCCTGCCCAAACCCTCCACAACCGGTTGCAATTAACCCTCCTGGGCCTTCATCAGACCCAACTTTCCCCTCTCCTCATTCCCACAAGGGCCTGGGCAAGGTGGGAGGGTCTGACCCAGCTCCAGGGCAGTGTCCAGGCGGCTCTGGGAACCCTGGAATTTTTGGGATGCCAGGAGGATGAGAGGAGAGGACACTCAGCCTCACACGGGCGTGAGCGGCTCCTCCAGTCCATGCCCCAGGGACAGTTTGGATCCAGCCATGACAGGAACCCAAATCCCACCATTCCGGCCTCTTTTCCTGTTTACTGCGGAAGGTGAGCGTGCAGGGAAGAATGACAATTAGCACCTGAGTAATTAAACCTGGGAAGGAGGAACCGGCTGTGGTTACGAAAAAAAAAAAAAAGAAAAAAATTCCTCACCTCTTTTATCTCTTTGCCTTCTCTGCTTTGATTTGCTGCGTTTTTTCAGGAAAAATCTCTGGATTTCCCTCCAGACTTTTTTTTTTTACTTTGGTGGATAAAATTGCTTTGATCTCCATGGAAATTTTAGAGCTCACCTGGCGGAGGAACCAGGGGGATTCCTACAACATTTCCTTGTAGTGAGCAGCAATTTTCTGCCTGTTTTAATTTCACAGGTATGGAATAAACATCCAGGTGTTCATGCAGGAAGAATTCCCGTTTGTTTGGTTGGTTGGTTTTCTGGAAATGGGGGCTACGAGATGATTTCAATCTGAATTTTACGGACACGTGATTAAGTACCCTACCAGCACCACACCAGAAGGGAAAAATTAATCCAAAAGCCATTTTTTTCCCCCACCTACATTTTATTTCCCAGGAAACCGAAGGATTTGGGAGCAGGAGCGAAGGACATCATTGCTTGCGCAGAATTTTAAGGAATTTTAGAGGCGTTTTGGGGTCCGGTGAAACCCCACGGGGAGGATTTGTGTCCCAGCCCGCCGGGATCGGAGGAGCTCCGGGGGAGGAGCTCGAAGGTTGTCACCAACCCCGGGCCTTGGGGCATCTTCGGAGGAGCCGGTGGCGGCTCCCGGACGGTCGCGCCCCGTCTGCCGCCGCCCCCGCTCCTCCCGCCCGCATTCCGAGCGGGATTTGCTGCGCCAAACCCTCCCCAAACCCTCCCCGGGCCCGGCTCCCAGCCGAGCTCAACCTGGGGAGCCTCCCGGGATGGTCCCCGATCCCCGTTTGGGGGGTTTGGGATCGAGTGATGGAGGAGTGCTTGGAAAATTTCACCTTTTTTGGTGGGTTTTCAGGTGTTTTTCCAGGCTGGAAATCCCATCTGAGCTGGGATTTCAGATGTTGGTCTGGGTTATCAGATGTTGATCTGGGTTATCAGATATTGATCTGGGTTATCAGATATTGATCTGGGATTTCACACACTGATCTGGGATTTCAGGCATTGATCTGGGATTTCAGACGTTGATCTGGGATTTCATGCATTGATCTGGGATTTCAGACATTAATCTGGGATATCAGGCATTGATTTGGGATATCACGGATGTCAGGACTGAGGGAAGGGCTGGAGATGTGCTTTTGAGATGACCTGGGCCGGGCCAGCAGTTGGATTTGATGATCCCTGTGCGCCCCTTCCATCTCAGGGCATTCCACAGTCCCAGGGAGACCTTCCCAAGCATTTTTTATTGCAAAAATTTGGGATTTTAGGAAAGGAATTAAAAGGAGGCGAAGGAAATGCGTGAGGCCAATGCCAAGATCGTTTCTTTTATTGCTTCAAGGAAAAAGATCAAGAGGAAGGACAGAAGAAAGAGGGGAATTCCTCCATCACACTCCTGGTGCGAGGGGGAACTGCGGATTCTTTCTCCCAGGGAACCATCCCGGGGGCACAAAATCGCTCGGTGACGTCCTGTGAGGAACGGCGCTTTCTTGGGGTGAAAAACAGCAGGAATGGGGCAGAACGTGAGGAAAATGAGGATTTACTCTTCCTCTGGAGATCCCGTGGGGATCCCACCCCGGAGCCCCTCAGCGAGCCCGGAATTTCGGGCAGCCCGAGACGGAGCAGCGCTGGCCGCACACGGGGCAGGTCTGGGTGACGCAGGTGGTGGGGCAGGAGTCGGCGCACCTGGTGACAACCTGGACACCTCCACGACTGGGGACACAGCACGGGGCTGGGCACGTGGTGGGCACTCCCTGGCAGCAGGGGTCCTGGCAGGTGGTGGTGCAGGTGGTCACTCCCTGGCTGCAGGAATTTTGGCACGAGGTCACTCCCTGGCTGCAGGAGTCCTGGCAGGTGGTCACTCCCTGGCAGCAGGGGTCCTGGCAGGTCGTGGTGCACGTGGTTACTCCCTGGCTGCAAGAACTTCGGCAGGTGGTCACTCCCTGGCAGCAGGGGTCCTGGCAGGTGGTGGTGCAGGTGGTCATTCCCTGGCAGCAGGAATTTTGGCAGGTGGTCACTCCCTGGCAGCAAGGGTCCTGGCAGGTCGTGGTGCAGGTGGTCACTCCCTGGCAGCAGGGATTTTGGCACGAGGTCACTCCCTGGCAGCAGGGGTCCTGGCAGGTGGTCACTCCCTGGCAATACGAACTTCGGCAGGTGGTCACTCCCTGGCAGCAGGGATTTTGGCACGAGGTCACTCCCTGGCAGCAGGGGTCCTGACAGGTGGTGGTGCAGGTGGTCACTCCCTGGCAGCAGGAACCTTGGCCAGTGGTCACTCCCTGGCAGCAGGGATTTTGGCACGAGGTCACTCCCTGGCAGCAGGGGTCCACACACCTGGTGGCACATCTGGTGACACAACAAGGATCTTGGCACCTGGCCACCCCCTGGCAGCACGGGTCCACGCACCTGGTGGCACATGTGGTCACTCCCTGGCAGCAGGAGTCCTGACAGGTGGTGGCACATGTGGTCACTCCCTGGCAGCAGGAGTCCTGACAGGTGGTGGTGCAGGTGGTCACTCCCTGGCAGCAGGGGTCCACGCACCTGGTGGCACATGTGGTGACACAGCAGGGATCCTGGCACGTGGTGACGCACTTGGTGACCTCCTTGCAACACGGATCCACACACCTGGAGACACATCTGGTGACCTCCTGGCAGCACGGGTCAACGCATCTGGTGGTTGTGCACTTGGTGACCTCCTTACAACAGGGATCTTGGCACGTGGTGACACACTTGGTGACCTCCTGGCAGCAGGGATCAACACACCTGGTGGCACATCTGGTCACACAACAGGGATCTTGGCACGTGGTGACACACTTGGTGACCTCTTTGCCGCAGGGGTCTTGGCACGTGGTGACACACTTGGTGACCTCCTGGCAGCAGGGATCCACACACCTGGTTCTGCACTTGGTGACCTCCTGGCAGCAGGGATCCACACACCTGGGCTCACACCTGGTCACACAGCAGGGATCTTGGCACGGGGTGGAGCACTTGGGCACCTTCTTGTAGCACGGATCCACACATCTGGAGCTGGACTTGCTCCCCTTCTTGGAGCAGGGATCTCCACATCTGGTGCTGGACTTGGCGCCTTTCTTGCACCACGGAATCACCCACGGGCTGCTCCACTTGGTCACCTTCTTGCAGCAGGGCTCGTAACACGGCGTGAGGCCCCTGGGGGCCTTCTTGCCACACGGGTCCACATACGTGGTGACACACCTGGTGACCTCCTGGCAGCACGGGTCCACACACGTGGTGACACGCTTGGAGACCTCCTTATAACACGGATCCTGACATGTTGTGACACACTTGGTGACCTCCTTATAACACGGATCTTGGCACGTGGTGACACACTTGGTGACCTCCTGACAACACGGATCCACACATGTGGTGGTGCACGTGGTCACCTCCTTGCAGCAGGGATCCTGGCACGTGGTGACACATTTGGTGACCTCCTGGCAGCAGGGGTCCACACACGTGGTGACACGCTTGGTGACCTCCTTATAACACGGATCCTGACATGTTGTGACACACTTGGTGACCTCCTGACAGCACGGGTCCACACACCTGGTGACACGCTTGGAGATCTGACAACATGGGTCTACACATGTGGTCACTTCCTTGCAACACGGATCTTGGCACGTGGTGACGCACTTGGTGACCTCCTGACAACACGGATCCACACATGTGGTGGTGCATGTGGTCACCTCCTTGCAGCAGGGATCCTGGCATGTGGTGACACACTTGGTGACCTCCTTACAGCAGGGATCTTGGCACGTGGTGACACATTTGGTGACCTCCTGGCAGCAGGGGTCCACACACGTGGTGGTGCACTTGGTGACCTCCTTACATGTGGTGGTGCACGTGGTCACCTCCTTGCAACAGGGATCCTGACATGTGGTGACACGCTTGGTGACCTCCTTACAACAGGGATCCTGGCACGTGGTGACACACTTGGTGACCTCTTGACAACAGGGATCCACACACCTGGTGACGCACTTGGTGACCTCCTTACAACAGGGATCCTGGCACGTTGTGGTGCACGTGGTGACCTCCTTATAACACGGATCTTGACATGTGGTGACACACTTGGTGACCTCCTTGCAACAGGGATCCTGACATGTGGTGACACACTTGGTGACCTCCTGGCAGCACGGATCCTGACATGTGGTTGTGCACTTGGTGACCTCTTGACAGCACGGATCTTGACACGTGGTGGTGCACGTGATGACCTCCTTATAACACGGATCCTGACATGTTGTGACACACTTGGTGACCTCCTGACGGCACGGATCCTGGCACGTTGTGACACACTTGGTGACCTCCTTATAACACGAATCCTGACACGTTGTGACACACTTGGTGACCTCTTGACAACACGGATCTCGACATGTGGTTTCACACTTGGTGACCTCCTTATAACACGGATCCTGACACGTGGTTTCACACTTGGTGACCTCCTGGCAGCACAGATCCTGGCACGTGCCCGTGGAGCACTTGGCCACCTCCTGGCAGCAGTCCTGGCTCCTGCTGCAGCTCTCGGTCACCCAGCAGCAGCAGCAGCAGGGGTTCCTGCACCTCGTGGAGCTCCTGGCCACGTCCTGGCAGCTCGGGGGCACGCACGTGGTGGCTACGAGGCTGCAGGGCTTGGCGGCCTGGGCCAGGCTGCCCAGGCTGCCCAGGCTGACGTAGGTGGTGGTGCCGGGGTAGCAGCAGGGGCTCCGGCAGGGAGGGAGGCACCGGGAGCCGCTGGCGGTGCCGCAGGGATCCAGGCTGGGTCTCACCGGGAAGCTCCGCACCAGCACGGCGGGAGGGGGGATGCAGATCTGGCTCAGCGGGCAGCCGGTGGCGCGACGCATTCTTGGGGGGAACGGGGGGGAGGCTGGAAGCGGGAGAGGGATAAAATTTAAAATTTAAAAGGTGTGAAAACGTTCCGGGCTGTTCCATACACTGGATTAATTCTTCCTTTTCCCATTGAATCCCGAACTGGGAAAACAGCCGTGAGGCGAGGAAGTGACTCCACATGAAAGTGTTTTAGACAAATTTTAGCTGTTTTCAAGCAGCTTCCTCTCAAAACAGGAAGCAAAAATTGTTTGGGCTCCTTTAGGTTTTCTGCAAGGTCTGAAGCCTCCACCTGCCCACGCCTCCCCTTGCTTCGGGATGAATCTTTCCCATTTCTTCCCTGATTTCACCCAAAAAGGCTTCAGAAGACCCTGCCCTCATCCAGAGGCCGCCAGTGGCAGCTGGAAAACCTCCCCAAGGAAAGGCTCTGCCGCGGCTGCGTTTCCCACAAAATCTGCCTGGCTCTTCCCACCCCGAGTTTTCCTCCCAGGCACCGCGGCCTCCCCTGGCAGCCTGAGAGTCTCCACTCCTTATCACCCCTCCCACTCCTCCCCTTTGAAGTCCCAGCCTGGCCTTTTGATCTCTCCCAGCACCAACAATTCCCTGGGTGAAACACGGCACAAAGTCGGTGAGGGCAGAGAGAGAATTTCGTCCTCCTTGATGGAAAAAGAGCAAAACCCACAGCAAATAAACCCCAGAGAAGACAGAATTAAAATCCGGGGGAATCCCAACCCCAATATGCCCAAGCAGAAACACTTTTAAGTCTTTTAATTTGTTTCTGCACGGCTCCAAAATGAAAACAAAAAAAAAACCCAACCACGAGGTGACTTCCCAGGAAACCGAGCCGGACTTACCCAATTCTCCACCAGCGAGCACCAAATGAAACCAAAAATGGCTTGAGGAACAGGACAATAGGAATCCTTTTATAGGATTTTGGTGTCCGTGGCTCCGGAAGTGAGACACCTCAGGGGTATGGAAATCAAATATTTAATAATCCAGACCTGCTCTGCTCCAATCCTTCAATTACTTCGCTCGACGTTATAATTTTTAATGTCGCCGGGGTGGGATGTGAGGCTCTTGTGACTGCCAGGAATTCCCCATCCAAGTATTTCCTACAGACTGGGAAATGCAGATGAGACAGCCTGGAAACAATCCCCCTCAGGATTAAACTCTGGAAAAAAAGCTGTTTTGGAGCATTTGGGGAATGGAGGTGGGATGGGACTCTGGATGGGACCTGGTTCTCTTACAATATTCCTTCTGCTGGGAATTTTATTCCTGGTAATCTGCTCAGCTTTCCCTCGATCCCTCAGTTGGAAGAGCCTCTCCATGAATATTTTGGATGGCTCAAAGAGGCCCCAGGATCGTCCCCAAATCTTCAGTGTCTCCCAGCCCACCTTTTCCTCAAGGTCCCTGGAACATCTGGGTGGCCTTGGCTGGTCTCGAGCCGTGGGACCCAAATTGGACACAGCTCCAGATGTGGTCCAGGAATTCCTCAGACACCTCCAGGGGTGGCCACTCCAACACCCCCTGAGCTCCTTCCAAAGCCTTTTCCCTTTTCCAGGAGGGATTTCCCCAAATTTCCCATCCTGAGCCTCCCCTGGCACAGCTCAAGGCCATTCCCTCTTGTCCTGCCCCATTCCCTGGGATCAGAGCCCGAAATTCCCCCTGGATCCCCCTTTTCTCCAGGCTGAGCCCCCTCAGCTCCCTCAGGATTTTCCAGCTCCATTCCCATCCCTGGCCCTCTTTCCATGGTTTTCCAGAACTGGACACAACACTGGACATTCCCCTCCCCAGTGGACAATCCCTGCCCTGGTCATTTTTGCCACAATCCTTTGATTTTCTTTTTAACACAAATTCAATTTCTTTGATTTGCCGGGATTTTGGCCGTCGGCCTCCAGGGAAATCTTCACATTTCCAGGATCTCCGGGGCCGTCCAGGACCTCTCCCGCGTGTCCCAGCTCCACCAGGCGACACCCAGGGCCACGAGGGGTGAACTCCCTGATCTCAGTGGCCTTTGGGCTGATTTTTTGTGCCCATTTTTGGTGCCAGGAGGTCACACCCAGCCCGGGAAGGTGACAAACTTCACGCGGCAGTCGCAGCTCGGAGCCGCTGCTTTCTCCCCGCGGAAAAGCCGTCCCTGCCTGGAAAAGAAGGAAGAGAGACCCAACCAGTTCCCCTGAGACATCAAAGGCTCTGGGATTCTCCTCTGCTCGCTGCCACCCAGCCCGAAGTCACCCGGTGACACAGCCAGGGACAGGAGTGACTCGCACCAGAGGCGAAGCCGTTTTCCACCAGGACACCAAAGGGGGTTTTGCCTCTTCTCCCTCCAAATTTGGGTGTCCAGTGTGGTGGTTTTTGGTTATTTCCTGGAAAAAAAAATAAATTTGGGATTCGTGACCCCTTGGGTTGGGAGTTTGCTGCTGACTGCAGGAAAAATTTCCTCTTTTTTTTTGGTTTTTTTTTTTGTTCAAACTCTCCCTTTGAGATTTTCTTGCTCAAATCTGTTCTCAGCTGAACAATTCTGATGATTTCCCAAAGTTCTTTTGGGAGGGAAGGGAACAGATTTGATTCACACTTTCGGGTTTATGGATTTCCAGCTGGGTGGAATTTAGCAGGTTTGGGGTAAAATGAAGGGAAAAGGGTGGTGGTCACTCCTCTGGTCACCTGCCTGCTCATGCCACACAAGGACAATGCCACCATCACGACAATGGGGACGGGATTTGAGTCAGAACTTCGGGAGCGGACGGAAAACATCACGGGACGAGTGGTGAGCGAAGAGTTTCCAGCAGCTCCGTGGAAAAACAGGACAGAAAAAGGTCAGAAGACGTGGCTAAAAATAAAAGAATCCCCCAAATCCCACATCCCATCCTGTCCCTAATGGTCCTCACGAGGTGTTGGGCTGGAGGCTGTTGGAGCATCCCGAAAACCTGCCCCGTCACCAGGTGATTATTGGCCAGCCGGCCGGGAATCCACTCATTTCCCAAATTCCTCCCTGGCGTCTGCGGGGCCACGTGAATTCCCGAGCTCCAGGTCCGGCTCCAGCCACGGAAATAGGCGTTTTCCATTAAAAATAATTAGGCAAATCATCCCTGGCAGGGCAGAGGCGGAGCGAGGCCGTGGGGAGCTCCAGGTGCCTGGGGCTCAGCGGCTCCGGAGGCCGGGAACACACCAGGAACATCCCGGGATAACGTGGCCGTGTCTGCCCTGCCGATCCCGACCCAAGGTGAGTCTCCTTGGGATCCTGCAGATCCCAGGGGTCGTTTTCCAGGATAGATTCCCTGGAAAGCTGAGAAAAGGGGGATTTGTGGTGTTCAGTTTCCTCGGGGGTAAAGGTTTAGGAGGGTAAAATTCTTCCCTTGCGCTGGCTTGGCTGTAATTCTGGAATTCCCAGGGATGTTCTGGAAAATTCCTGTTGTTCCAGCACTGGATTTAATGGGATTAAACCCCCATCCTGCCAGGATGTCCAGGATCCATTCCAAACTACTGGAAAAGGGAAAAACCACTGGAGAAAGGAAAAACAACTGGAGAAGGGGAAAAAAAAAAACTGAGGAAGGGAAGGAAGTCACTTAAAAATTATAAATCTGAAAATGTGAATAAAATCCATTGTTATCCCCCCCCCCCCAAAAAAAGCTGGCAAATTGTTGGAACTGTTTGGCTGAGAGCAGATTTTAATGAGAAAAGCTGATTTTGGGAGCTTGAAGAGAAAAAGCGAAAAAATGAGGGCTTTTGTCCCACATTTTTCATGGAATTGGGTGTGAAATTGTTCCTTTTTCTTGCAGCTCTCAGTCGCAGGGAGATGAGCTCCTGTTCCTGCCTGGAAGAGGCTGCCCAGAGCCATCCCTGCGCCGCGGTGGCCCCGGAACAGAATTCCCCCATGGATCCCTGCCCGTGCCAGGACCTTTGTCCCTCCTGTCCCTGTGACCCCCCTCAGGTCCCCCTCGGGGTCACCTCCCCGTCCCTCCCCGCGGATTCCGAGCCCTGCGCGGATCCCGTGAAGATCCCGAGCTCTGGAGAGGAGCCCTTCACCTTCGAGACCCCCGGGATGTGCGTGATGAGGTTCCCGCTGCAGAAATCCATCCTGACCGTGGAGCTCTGTCCCCCTGACTCGGCCGAGATCTTCCCGCTGCCCCAGGAGGAGCTCGGGGTCTCCAAAGCCACCGGGACCTGCCTGGACAACCTGGAGAAGCTCCGGCAGGAGCTCCCGGCCGTGGATCCCTGTACCCTCGAGGTGGTGGAGCTGGGCACGGATGAGCCCTGCCAGGCCCAGGGCACGATCCTGGGGGATCCCTGCGTGTCCCAAACTGGGATTTCCACGGATCCCTGCGTGTCCCAAAGCGGGATTTCCACGGATCCCTGCGGGTCCCAATCCCAGGGACTTGGGGACGCTGGAGATGCTAAGGACAGCAAATCCCAAACGTCCCCACGGAGCCCGTTCCGCCTCAACTCCTGCACTTCCAGCATCGTGGAGCGCTGCCTTTCCCGCTGCCAGAGCTTGTTCCGGGGCAAGAAATAGGATTGGGATCAGTGGGATGAAGGAAAGGGGTCCCTGCCCGGCTCGGGTGAGTCTGAGCTTCCCACGAGTTACAAAAAGAGAGGAAAGACAGGAAATTGCTTCACGCGAGATTAAAAAAAAAAAAAAAAAAAAAAAAAAAAGCTGCTTTTCAATCATCTCTTAATTACCATGTCAGTTTGATTGCCCAACGAAAAGCGCAATAAATAATGGGAAAATGATCCCAGTGGGAATTGCAGCCGGGGTCCTGTTTCGTCACCCGCCGCCTTTTCGCTTCCCACGGATGAACGAGGAGGTTCAGAGTCCGCCTTAATTCATCCATGGTTTTGCCTTTGCATTTTTAATCCTCCTCCTTAATGGTTTTCCCCATTAAAATTGTGTGAATATTGAGGAAAGCAAATTTTCCTCGGCAAAAAAACTCGAGGAGCTCCTTCCCCCACGGATGAGAATTATTTTTAGGGAATTCTGGGCTGGATCTGAGTTTGGGTACCACCAGCACCCCCCCCC